GGGGGGGCGGAGTCTGGTCTCTGCAGCAATCCAGCTCTCTCAACCACCCACTCGTTCCCCAAGCTGAAGTGTTGAGGTTAGAGGGGGGACCCCTGCCCCCAGGCGGGGTTTCCGGAGGCTTGAGCCCTGCCATGGCAGGCCCTGCCAGCCATGGCAGGGCCTGGCTGTCAGGAGCTGGAAGCTGATCGGGCTCAGCACCACCCCAGCCCTTCATTGTGGCTTCTGGGACTGCGAGGGGCTTGAGCCCAGTGTCTGGGAAGTCCCGATGCAGGGGAGAGAGCAAGACCCCCCCTGCCTGCACCAGCAGGAGGCGCCATGGAGCGGTAGGGGGGTTATAAAAGGTGGTGAGAGGGGACTGGGTGTGTGTGTGTGTGTATGTGTGTGTATCGGGGTGAGAGGAGTTGGGGGGGTGTGCACATGTATGTGTGTGTAGAAGGTGCTGAGAAGGACTCAGTCTGTGTGCACATGTGTGCATTGCATGTGAGAAGGGCTCAGTGTGTGTGTGTGTGTGTGTGTGTGTGTGTGTGTAGAAAATGGTCAGAGGAGCTTGGGGTGTGTGCACATGTGTGGGGGGCCTGTGCATAGGTGGTGAAGACCTCAGTGTATATGCACACGTGTACAGAAGATGGTGAGAGGGGGTTGCTCTGTGTGTGTGTGCACACATGCATGTGTAGAAGGCAGTGAAACGGGCTTGTGAACATGTGTAGAAGGTGGTGAGGGGCTTGCTGTGTGTGCACATGCATGTGTAGGGGGAGAGGGGGCTCAGGGTGTGTGGACACACATGCATGTGTCCAGCCCTGGAAGGGGTGCTGCACCCCCCACCTTAGGGTGCCCCTGGCTATGCCACCCCCCCTCCATGGGTTGGACCACGGGGCTCCCTCCCCGCCCCGCCTGGGCACCCAGCCCGGACCCTGCAGCCCAGAGCTGGTCTCCAGCCCAAATGCTAATGGCCACAATGGAGCCTAATTACCCTGGAGATTAGCCCCTGGGGGAGGTCTGGTGCTCGGAGCTGAAGGAGGGAGGGGGGAGGTCTGCAGCCTCCTGGAAGGACCGAAGGTGCCACCAGCCTCTTTAAGGGCCTCTGCTGACCCTGCCCTCAGCCCAGCATCCCCAGGCCTGTGGCTTTGCGGTGAGGGAGTGAGGGGTGGGTGATGGGTTCTGCACAGAGCCTTGGACTTGGCCCCAAGGACCCAGCTCAGCCCAGGTCACCCAGCTGCTCTCAAAGCACCCCTGGGACCATTTTACAGATGGGGAAACTGAGGCAGACCCTCACCTTGGCAGCAGGTTTCAGAGCCCAACTTTTAGTGGTCAGGGCATCTCCCCCAGCAGCAGCAAGATGTTTGTGAACACAGCCCCCCTGCTTTCCCAGGGCAGGGGCAATACTTGGGTCTGTCAGGGGCAATGATGTCGTGCAGCTCCAAGGTCACACACAGGGTTTGTCTGGGTGGGTTTGGACAGGACTGATCCTGCCACGGGCTGGACGTGACCAGCACAGCCCCACAGTGCTGGGACGCTAAGGGACACCAGCCTTCAGACACTCAAAGGGCAATGCCAGGGGCCAGGACTAGGAACAAGCACCTCGAGCTGCAGCAGAAGGAAATTGCGGCTGGAGACGAGGAGCTCCCCGAGCCCGCGTGTGGTCCGGCACTGGACCAGGCTGCCTAGAGAGGGGCCGGAAACGTCCACGAGCAGGCTGGACAGACACGTGCCTGGGATGGTTTAGCCAGGGCTGATCCTGCCTTGAGCAGGGGATTGCGCTAGAGGTGACATGGCAAGGTGCCTTCCAGCCCCCGCCCCTATAATAAAGTCCTGCAGATCCATGTGCTCCCCCCCCAGCTCACATGCATTCGCCCCCCAGATCCACCCCCCCGGTGCGCACCTATCCCAGCAGCATGAGGCTCTTGCACCCGCCAGCGGTCCAAGGCTGGTTGAACTCCACCAGCAGCCCCCACTGGAGCTCCATTTACCAAGCCCGATTTGGGGCAGTGTACACAGGCAGCTTGTGCCCTGGCTGCAGGAGCCCCCCTGGGCTCTGCTAGGGGGTGGAGGACACATCAGCCTAAGTCTGGAGGCGCTTTCCCTTCAGAGATGGGGAAGAGCAAGTTGGGGCGCATCTCTGCCCTGTGCTGGGGCCCGAGTTTGAGCTCCCTTGCTGCAAAGCCAGGGTGGGGGAGCTGCCCGCTGCCAACCTGCTCAGGCCACAGGTGCCCTGGAGACGGGCATCTGCATCACGGGCAGAGGGATGTCCTGCTGTTCTAGCTGAGCAACACCCCAGCAGGCTCCTCTCACCTGGGCTAACCCAGCCCCAGCCCAGGAGAGACATCTCTGCCCGGGCCCTTACGCCCTAGCTCGAGTCCCCCACAGGGAAGCCAAGGCAGAGCAGGGGGCACCTGCAAGGCAGAGGCTCAGAGGGGCAGAAGGTTTCATGCTGCAGTCAAATGCCAGGAACAGACTGGCAAAGGGGTGAAGAAGGGCAGGGATGGGGGCAGTTCCATGGTGGATGAGATCCAAAGGGATCAAGAAGGTGGCTTGCAGCTGGAGAGAGGCAGAACAACCCAGAGACCAGGTTAAGACTGGTGCACAGCTAGTCTAGGCTGCAGCCCTGGGGAATGGGAGGCAGGGAGAATGAACCAGCTCCATACAGGCCCTCAGGCAACGCACTGGGTTCTTCAATCGCTCCTGATGGGCCCTGATTACCCACCCATGCAGCCAGGTGGAGCAGATCAGACACTTCCCACCTCAGGGGAGCTGCAAAATCCCCCGCATCTGGTCGCTGGGGGGCTTTGGGACCCAGCAGCACCTGCTGGGTGTGTGGAGGAGACACGAGTCAGGGCAGACACGGTTAGATGTGTATCATCCTCCAGCATTTCCAGGGCATCTCAGGTCTGCAGAACCTTGCAGGCCGCGTGAGCAGCGACCTGGGCCATGATGCTAGAGCCAGGGGCTTGCAGACCCCTCCCACCACAGCCCTCTGGGGTCTTCTGTTCCAGCTCCCCTGGGCTACAGAGCCTGTCCCAAGCCCCTTGGCAGGGACAGGCCTAGCTCTGGGCTACTCTGCCCTAGACACCAGCTCCGCGGTCTTGGACAAGGATGCTGTGTTCCCGGCCCCCGCTGCACCCCAGGCCTCTCGTGCACCAGGAGGAAGCAAAGGGCTGGTCCCAGGGAAATTCTCCTCCTGGCCTTGCACCAGCCTCTGAGCTACCCAGGCTGAGAACAGTTATCTGTGCCCCCCTCCCAGCCTTTTGTCTTGAAATCCTACAGCTGTGCAAGCCCATTGTCCCACCCTCCGTAAAGTACCTGAAGGAGGGGATAACCCTGCTCCTAGGCAGCTGCGGCTAATTGCAGCTAATTGCAATGGGAGCTGCATGTGTGCCCCCTGTTTAACCCCCAGCTTCTGCTTTTAGCTCCCACAGGGCTGGGGAGGGGGAAGTGAATACCCTTTTCTCCCCCCACCCCCAGGTGCAGAGGGGTGAAGCCCAGCACTGCCTGCCAGCACAAGTCAGCTGTGGACCAGCCCCGGGGATGACTCAGGAGGGCTCTGCTACCCCCCGGCACCAGCCCCATGTCCTGGTGGAGGTGCTCTGACCCTGGGGGGGCTCAGCCCACCCCCATCCCAGACCCCCAGGTAACAGGGCACTCGCCCACGCCCCTTTCCTTCTACAGGGGGTCACCTGGGCACCCCGCCAAGCACCACCCTGGGGGCCCTGCCCCCAGGAATTAACCCCTTATTGTCCGCAGCAGACCTCGGGGCTCCAAGGAGGGAAGCGGGGTGGGGGTTGCAAAGGAGCAAAATCCAACCCCGCAGCATGCATCCAAGGGGCTGAGACCCACCTCAGTGCGGCCTCCCCCCTTTCCTTCTACAGGGGGTCACCTGGGCACCCCGCCAAGCACCACCCTGGGGGCCCTGCCCCCAGGAATTAACCCCTTATTGTCCGCAGCAGACCTCGGGGCTCCAAGGAGGGAAGCGGGGTGGGGGTTGCAAAGGAGCAAAATCCAACCCCGCAGCATGCATCCAAGGGGCTGAGACCCACCTCAGTGCGGCCTCCCCCCCGGGGGGTGCTGCAGAGCCCCTCTTTGTCCCGGGGGAGGGATATAGCGCCCCCGCCCCCC